CATGGTGAAACTGAATGAATGTGAAATATTTTCTGACCTTTTCCTTCTCAGAGGGTTCTGACAGTAATATAGACCCCCACAAAGTTTACAAGGGTTCTTTACAAACATGCACAAAAACTATCATATATATGTCTTTGGTTGATGAGTGCCAAGAGAGCAAAGAAGGGAAGAGATTGTCAAAGCGTTAAAACACGCTAACGCCAGGGAACGGCTGGCATTGTCCGGGCGTTAAAACACACCCGCGCCAGTCAAAGAGTTAATGAACATCAAAGAAAATTTATATATATACATATAGACAGAGGTTCTTACTTTTCTCAGCCGGTTCACAATGACTGATGCACCAGTGGCTGCAAGGCGCATACTAATTTTGCCAATGAATCAGTATGCTTGTGGCCATTATTGTGTGGAATGAAGCAAACAGTTCACAGGTCACAGAAGGTGTTGAAAATGCTGTCCCCCTACACATAGCCATTCTTTGCAGCAGCAGAAGTCATTCTGATTAACCCTTAAACGGACGAATGTTATATATAAGACTCATTCTCACTTTGGTAGTGCTGACAGTTTGATCTTGGGTTTGAAACCAAAACAGATTCCTGCAAGTTCATGTCAGTGGTTCATTCGTTAGCTCTGAACAATGAAATTGTTTATCACACTACTGGTTATGATACTATTTATATTTAGATATGACTGTTTATGGTGTCAGCAGCCAAATAGAGCCCAGCTTTGTTTTGAGAACTGAGGAGTAAATATTCATCTGTGCTTGCATGTTAGTGCTTCCAGAGCTTTCAAGGAAATGTGATGTATTGAAAGATTGGTTTTCAGTAACGAATTATTAGGGAGGAAGTCGGTGTCGGATTGTCATATATTTCTTTATCAGTTGGAAAGTCAGTGTCAAATTGTCATATTCTTTATATATTGTCACATGTTGGGAATGTAACGTGACAAATAACTTCATGACATACTGAATATAGCGAATTTATGCCACATTGGCTCGCACACTTACACAGTTTACAATTACTGCCACTGGTAGTATCACAGTTACTTCCACTGCTCTCGGCAACTTCACGATCCACGTGATCCACACTGTGTCACTCCTGATCACACACTGCTCACATACTGCTCAGCCGGCTTCTCATACCATTCCCTGTTGCTGCATGTTAACGGCTGTGTCCCCTGTTACATTTCAGTGAGAAGTGCTGTTACGTCACCGTGGGGGGACAGTGGAGTGTGTGCTGGCGTATTACCGTAGCAGCTGCATTTGCTTTGATCCCTTTACGCCACTCCTGGAGGGGGGTGGGTGTCATGCATAGTGCAAATAGATCACAATATTTTATTCTGTGTCTCGGAAGAGGTATAAACCCATTTGGCCTGTATTTCTTTGTGAGTAAAACACATCTTTGTCACTGTGACTTCCAGTATCAGTGTCGGCCTGGCACTCTTTCTGACTAATAATGTAATTACTTTGCATCAATATTTTGTGAGTATTACAAACAGGTGAGAGTGATGCTTTGTAATTAAACATAATTTATTCAAATTTCCTGGACACGCCCCTTCTCCAAAGATGATTCTTTAATTGCAAAAATGAATATCACGGTCAGTGGCGTTTCTCGGTGGAGGCCAAGTTCATCTGGCGCCCAACTGAGTCGACTGGAGGTGAAACATTCACAACACTGGCCAACCAAATGAAACAAAGACGTCATGCGTGTCACTAAATAAGAAAAGGAGCACCCTTTTTCTATTGTACAAAGTGTCATGTTGAGCTGTGTGTCGTGGACTGCTTCGAGAAGTGGCACACGCGCTTTGAGATTGTGTGGTATCATAAACTGTGAAGTGACTGCATACTTCTGTATAAATTTTATATACATATGTAGCTGTTGCAAAGCATTTGCACTCCTGCTTCTACACAGTGTGGTGTGCCCAATATCATTTCACACATCCAGAAATAGTGGCCATTTTCTGGCAAAAGCCAAACATTTACATTGTCGAGGGATCTTGTGTGGCAACCTAGGAGATGACTCATATGGATTTGCTCATGGAATCATGGTGGACATATCTATTGAACTCAAACTGTGCTATTATTCTTTTTGAGGCGTATTATACACACACACACACATACAGCCTTTATTGTTATTTCATTCTAGGAGCCTATCCACTATTATTTGGATGCCTGTCCAGCCTTACAGATGTATAATTTCATTTAATAATGCAATTTGTGAGACAGTTGCAGTGCAGCTTAACTACTCTTGACTCAGAAACCTCCAAACATGCTGATGGACTCAGGCTTACACCACACAAGGGGGTGTGCTCTCTCTGTCCCTCCCTTCCCTCTCTGTGACCACTTTCACCCTTACCGATTTAATATCTCACTTTACTGAGGCTTCAAACTCATTTCTCTTCTTATTAGGATTTTTCATGATATTTACTCTCATTTTCCAGGGTAACTTGAATGTACTTCAACCCATACGTGGTGAGGAGCAACAATATTCCTGCAATGAGTGTGGTGAATTATTCAGTCAGCAGATAATTCTGAGAGCACATCAGCACATACATAATGGGGACAAGCCTTATTGTTGTGATGTATGGAAGAAGTCATTTAGAAAGCAGAGTCATCTGAAGACACATCAGAGCATACATAGTGGGGAGAAGCCATATTGCTGTGATGTTTGTCATATGTCATTCAGTGATCTGAGTAGCCTGAGGAAACACCAACGCATACATAGTGGGGAGAAGCCATTTTGCTGTGATGTATGTAATAAGTCATTCAGTCACCAAAGTTGTGTGAAGACACATCAATGCATACATAGTGGGAAGCAGCCATTTTGCTGTGATGTATGTAATAAGTCATTCAGTAATCTGAGTACTCTGAAGACACACCAACGTATACATAGTGGGGAGAAGCCATTTTGCTGTGATGTATGTAATAAGTCATTCAGTNCATATTGTTGTGATGTATGTAATAAGTCGTTCAGGCAGCAGAGTAATTTAAAGAAACACCAATGCATACCTAGTGGTGAAAAGCCATTTTGCTGTGATGTATGTAAAAAGTCATTCAGTGATCTGAGTAGCTTGAAGAAACACCAACGCATACATAGTGGGGAGAAGCCATTTTGCTGTGATGTATGTAATAAGTCATTCAGTCAGCAGAGTAATTTGAAGACACATCAACGCATACATAGTGGTGAAAAGCCATTTTGCTGTGATGTATGTAAGAAGTCATTCAATGATCTGAGTAGCTTGAAGAAACACCAACGCATACATAGTGGGGAGAAGCCATTTTGCTGTGATGTATGTAATAAGTCATTCAGTCACCAAAGTTGTGTGAAGACACATCAACGCATACATAGTGTCGAGCAGCCATTTTGCTGTGATGTATGTAATAAGTCATTCAGTAATCTGAGTACTCTGAAGACACACCAACGTATACATAGTGGGGAGAAGCCATTTTGCTGTGATGTATGTAATAAGTTATTCAGTGATCTGAGTAACCTGAAGCAACACCAACGCATACATAGTGGTGAAAAGCCATTTTGCTGTGATGTATGTAATAAGTCATTCAGTCAGCAGAGTAATTTGAAGAAACACCAAAGTATACATAGTGCTGAAAAGTCATTTTGCTGTGATGTATGTAATAAGTCATTCAGTCAGCAGAGTCATGTGAGGACACA